ATGGTGCGGTGGCAAGGGCCTGGCTTAGGACGAAGCTAGTTTAACTCCGGCTGCTGGTTCTGCCGCTCCTCAGACTTGAAGCTGGTCAGCCTGAGGCAAGTTACCCAACTGCGATTCTCAGTTTCCTCCTCCCGTAAATGAGATGAAGATTGCCTCCTTTATTGTCATCAGATTTCGAAGGAGATAATGACGCTGGATTGAAATAGGACAGTCATTTTCCCACTACACTTTCACACTTGCCTCTGAGGGACAAGAGGACTGCAGGAGGCCACCTGGGCCCACCTGGCGTGTGTCCATGTCACCTGACTGCTCAGGGGTGGCATCTCGCAAATAGCTGGAGAAATCTGACGATGACAAAGGGAAAGAACTAGGAACCAACTCAGCGCCTGAAGGACTGAAGAGGATTTGAAGTTGGTCTTTGAATCCTTTCCTCTGCCCCAACCTGTTGTCCCTCTGGTGGAAACAACCACCTCTAGCCAAACTGCTTGGGACCCCGGAAGGGCTGGTCTGATGGCCCCGGGCCACGGCCTCAGCCAGAGAGGATGAGGTGCTTTTAAGGGAAAGAGAAAGCTCTGGAGGAATTTGTTGAATTTGTCATTCAGATTTGACTTTGGGTGAATTCTCTTGCTTCTCTGTACCTGCTTGTTTTTGAGACAGTAGCAGGGATGAAGTTGCTTTTATCCCATGGAGGGAAGGCAGGGTTTCAACTAGAATCTGTCGCCGTCCTTGTTCAGCTGCGAGTCCTCACCGTGAGGTGCAGTGGGGCGAGCTGCCAGAATCAGTTAGGATGATTCGCGTCCCTTTGCAAAGCAGAGGTGTAAGGAGGCCTGCGCGGGACCCTGTACCGCGGTGACCCCACTTGCAAGGCAGAGACAGTGCGCCAAGAAAGAAGCCGGCGGGCCGGCAGTCATTTAGAGGGCAGTTTCTATGGCCAGGATGCCGCGGACCTTGCAGAGCTCAGAAACACAGGTCGGTGGGCTAGCGCCTCCCGTCAGCGCTGAAGCAGACATCCGCTCCAAACATGCAAAGGTGACTGAGTGCTTTTGTTAAAGATGGCGCCAGGAAAGAACTCACTTTCTAGCATGTTTTTGGCCCAGCCTGGAGGGGAAAGCAGGTGTTTAGGTGTTTGACGATAAAGATGAGAGTTTGCTGTTGAGGGTGGGAAGGCAATGAGACACTCAGTGCCTTGTGTCAAAAAAAAGAGAGAGAGAGAGAGAGAGAAGAAGAAGAAAAATCTCAGTTACTAAATGGGAGGGAAATCTGAGGCATAAAGCATTAACTGGACAGCCCTGACTCAGTTGGTTGGAGCATTATCCCATACGCTGAAAGGTCGCAGGTTTGATTTCTGGTGAGGGCACGAGCTAGGTTGTGGGTTTGGTCCCCAGCTGGGGTGCGTACGAGGGGCAACCAATCAATGTGTCTCTCTCACATCAATGTTTCTCTCCTTGCTCTCCCTCCCTTCTCCTGTTTAAAGTTGACCATGTTCTTAGGTGAGGATAAAAAAAAATTATACATAAAATGACTTCCCCTAAAAAAAATTAATTGGACAAATGTCAGTCCCTTTCCCTTTTTGACACATGGAAGGCTATACAGGGTCTTGCTAGACCCTTCCGGAGGGCCTGTTCCAGCAGCCTCTGACAGTAACCTCACAGGCAGGGGATCACAGGGGCCCTCCCTGGATCAGCCGGCAGCTGCCACGAGGAGTGGAGTCCAGCACTGAGGCAGTGCGGTCCCCAGGCCTTTCCACAAAGCCCCCATTCTGTGTCTTTCCCAGGGTTGCAGATACAGATGTGGGTGCCTTGTAACACACACCCCACTCTTGGCTCTGTAAGAAAGCTACTTGTGTTTCTTCGGTTTCCACCCTTAGAAGAAAACGCTAAGAGTGCGCCCCAGATCCGAGAAGGGGGGACCTTCTGTGCAGCTTGGTTACAGAGGACCCTCCCGGACACTGTCCTCGACCCCTTGCCTCGGTCTTATGTGCCAGATCACATATAAAGGCACACATGTCCTGTGACAGCAACTCCTTTCTGAATGGCAGTAACGTGTCACTGTCTAAAAGCTTCCCCTTGGTTGGGTCCAGGTATTAGCTTCATAAGCCACCTGCCGATTCAGATTTAACTTGGCAAAGTCAGAGCCGTCCCTTTTCAGATGACTCTCCCATTCTTCACTTGCCTCTACCTTGTCATTAATTTTCCAGCCAAGAAGTGCCTGCAGCCTGATCTGACCTACATATCCCTGTTGTCAGGTTCTGCTCCTTTTCCCGTCGGGACTTTCCCTGCGCATCACCGCACCCCTCAGCCTCCTTTGCTAGGTGCCTCGCTTGTCCTAGTCTCGGAATCGAACCTTCCAAGGGGATCTTAGGGGTTTAGTGCTCTTGGTTTCCAAGCGAATCTTTTTCGGGGTCTTCCCAGCCTTAGGTGGCCAAGGCCTCTGGGAGACTTTCCCAACACGACAAGAAACAACACATCACTGTCCAAAGTCAGCCGGGCAGTGGAATAGAAGGAACACAGGCTTTGGCAGAGCCAGGCTCAGTCCCTCTCCGTGTGTGCTCTCAGCTAATTTCTGCAAAATCTCTCCATTTCCTCCTGTGAAAGTGTGGGGGCTGGGCTGATAGCTCCCTCACCAGGCCAACACAGATTAAAATGATAAGCTGCGTATATAATCAATCTGGCAGGGTTCCGACAGCCGGTCTATGCCGGTTGCTGTGTGCCCTTTGCTCAGTTCCAGCGCATTATGACTCTCCTATTACTGAACTGATTCCATGCATGTCCCGGCACCAGAGCATCAGCTCCTGAATTTGGGGCCACGTTTTGCCTTTGTAGCCTCCCTGCCTAATTGATGCCTGGCAAAGTGCCTGTAGGATGAAGGAGTAAATGCATCTTGGCTATAGATTTAAATGTGGTTTTGTATCAGATTGTTAGGTCGGTCCATCCCTCTGCTTCTGCTGAGGTGCTGAGGCTGAGTCGGGGTGAGGCCGTCACCTCGCCTGGTGTTCACCACACCCTGCAGCTACCCGCCCATCGCTCACTCACCCACCCCGTGGCCTGTCTCATCCTGCATGACGCTGAGGCGATAGTCACGCAACATAGTATCAGATCATCATTAAAGCCGCAGTTACAAAGGTCCTGGCCAACTCCAGCAGAGCCTCCTCGGTACTGCAGGAGGTCCTGGCCCCCCCACCCCGCCCACTGCTGTCCCTGCAGAGGAGAGTGGAGCAAAGACAGAAGAATCTGAGGAGTCTGATGATGCCCGGGTCTTCTGTAACTGGTTCAATAACAAGCGGAACTCTTTAATAAAGTTTTTTTAGATTGTTAAAAGAAAACCTGAGATCCAGCCACAGCTACTGACACGGAGGAAGCGGCCAGTGAGGCAGTGGGACAGACACATACCCGGTGATAGGAATGTGGTGGGGGTTTGCCCTTCCCTTTCCTTCCAGGAGCGGGCTCTTGGGACAAGCCACGAGCACGGTCAAGTTTTGGTTCTGGAGCCACATAGACTGAATTTCAGATCCTGTCTCTGCACTTCACTAGGCATGACCTTGGGCCAGTTACTTAACCTGAGTCTTGTCATCTATAAAATGGAGATAGAAGTGGTACTGTTGACTTCAAAGAAGTGTTGACCACTAAATAAGATAATGCATATTTAGAAGTTGATGAATAGTAAGGATGCTGAATACCTGTCTAGTTTTCAGGGTACCATACTCCCTGGTTACCCAAACGCCCTCCATCTTTTGCTGTTTGTTGAAGTGTTTTGAGTTCAAGGACTATCTCTGTTGGTCTCTTTCCATTAAACACTCACTTCAAGCCAAGCACTGGCCCTGCCAGGTTTGGGGAATTGAGTAAGAGATCTTTCTGCCCATAAGCCTCAGGGGAAACTGCTTACTTTCAAAACAGCGCATGGGGCCGAGTGACGTAAGCACTGTCGAGAGTTACCCTGAGAATGACCTTCCCAGACCAGAGATGGGAAAAAGGCCATCTGGGCAGAAGGGAGAATCCATGCAAACGAGAACCGCCACAGGATTTCTCAGTATTACTTTAATGGTTCTGGGGCCCAGTGTGCCTACTGCCCTCAGATGCCTACGTTTCTCTTTTGAAAGGTCCCTGCCAGTGGCAGAGACAGCAGACTGAATTGGCCGATGGGAGCCGGGCTGGTCAGGAGGTGGGCTAGCAGGCCAGAAGTCCATCCAGGCAGGAAAGGGTATGTACCTGGGAACGTCCGCTCTGGGCACGCAGCAGGTGATGCACAGGGTCCTGAGCGCTGGGTGGCCGCAGGTGGAACATCAGCACCTGCCTGCAGCTATGGGCAAGGGCTGGAGTCCTCCAGGCAGGGCCAGGGGAGGGCCTGGGGAGAGCACGCAGTCCATCTCACGTCCAGCACCGAATCCACGGGAACCTTTCCCAGAGCTTTCTTCCTGACTGGCCCAGTGTGTCTGAATTGGCAAGTCAGTTCTCTTGTAAAGTTGGTTTTAGGACCACCTCAAACTTTAAAGTGATGGTTTCTTTAAGCAATAAATTCTAAGATACTAGGAAGTTCCCCAGGCAGGAGGGGCCGGCGGGGAGGAGAGTCCTCTGAGGAGGAAAGTGGGCCTGTCGAGCAGGCCTGCCAGTCCTTCTGAGAAGCAGGTGCCGCGCTTCCCTGCCAGCCTGCAATGATCAAAACAGGAATATCACAATAGCTCCTGTGAAGGATGCCTGAGGGTTGGTGTTGGGTACAAATTGCAGACTATTTTTTTTTTGATACTATGTATTATTTTGCAAACAGTTCACATTACACTAAACTTGCCAAAGGGACACACTTCAGGTACCCAGGCCTGCCAGCCTGCCAGCCAGGACACCGGCCACTTGAGACCAGCTATCTACCATCAGACCACAGCCAGTTTCCACTGCAGTGAAGTGACATGCGAGTTGAGCTGCTTCTAATTTGGGAGCCAGTGTATCTGAAAAAGGAAGTTGGATGTTGGACACAATTAGATTCATTAAGTATTTTATTGATAAGGCTGTGCAGGATTCAGCAGTGTCTACTTTAGGTCCCATGTACAACAGTAAAAATTAAAAATGAGTAATTCAGCTTGCAGTGAAAGGTATTTCCAGGCATTTTTTTCTTCCCCTACCCCGTGAAATTTTAAAGTAAGCTCACCCAGCACCCTGATTAGCATATTAATAGAAAGACAGTAAAGTACAAAAATGTGATAAATACTATTTATTGTGATTAACTGCTCAGATTATTAGCTATTTTAATAAAGTACAACTTTATAGTGAAAATAATATATGAGAAGTAGCTTTGTAAAAGCTTTTTCAATGGTATGCTCACAGACTGCCAGACACCCTCCTCAACAGGGATGGCACAATGGCCGCGGTTCCCGTGAGGACGGCTGAACACCGCATAGACAGGCCGGCAGGGGGTTTGGGGGGGTGGTGGTGGCCGGGTTAGCTTCTGGATGCCACGGGGGCTTGCACTCTGAAACCGTACAAGCACAGCTTCCAAACACCACGGGCCTTTGCTGGAAAATGCCAACGTTCCACCTTAACGGCTACTGCGGAGTCTCAGGATTTCCTTTGACCAGGACGACTTTTAGTCCAGTTCCACTTTGCCTTTCTGATGCCTCTTCATCCTCGAATAGGGACTGATTGTATCATCCATCACAAAGTCATATAGGACTTTTATCCAGGAATTGTAGTGGGGCAGGTTGTCATAGTACTCAGCTGCGATTTTCCTCACCTGGAAGGGAGAAAACACAGGAGGATGAATAGTGAGGGTTCACTGAGTCCTACTGCAGAGGGCAGGCGAATGCTGGGCACAAACACTGAGAAACCACCAGACCTTTCTTCCTCCTGATCTCTCCAACCAATCAATCAGTCAATGATGCGGCTGTAGGAATTATAAACAAGAAGCAGCTTGCATTTCAACAGTAAAATATACTCGACCCCCTGGGATTACTGACACTTTCTTCTCAAGCTCTGAGGGACTCATACCTGGTTTATTTATAAAGTTTGGCCCTTAGAATCTTCCACAACAGATACTTTTCACTTTTCAAGCACAGGATACATGGTTGGCATTGTAAGATACAAAGGTAACACCTGACCCTTGCCATCAAGGAACCTGCAAGTACTAATAGATTATTGTGGTATATGCCACTTAGAAATTAAGCATCTATCAAGTGTGCAATTCTGCCATCCCAAGATGAAAATATCTTTTGAAAATGCCTACTGCCAGTATGACCAGGAAGCACAACTGATTAGCGCTGAGTGATAATAACGGTTCTGTGGCTTCATGGAAACGTACAAAAAACTACCCTAGCAAATCTCAAAGGAAGATACAGAAGCAGCATCTAAAAAGGTGAAAGGAGCAAGAAAAAAAAAACAAAACCACCACAATGTTAACATTTAAATTACTCCTTCAATATGGGAAACGCAATACTACTTTCTGGTTGTGGAGAACCAGAAGAATGTACCACTCTCAAGGAACAATCAAGTCAAACAGAGCTCTCCACGTGCGTATTCTCAGTCACTCGGAAGAGAGGGATGTGATGCCTTTGGATCACGGTCCTTCAAAACGTCCTAAGAGTCCTTCATGAATAAGGACGATCTACAGACCACACACACACAAACTAACCTGGATCCTAATCCATGTGGAACTTGTATCAAAGCCAATAGTAATCAATGTATTTTAACAGTTAGAATAGGTAGGAGATAGTATCTTTCCAAAAAAGTGAAAAACAGAACAAGGTAATTCTTGATACACATTCCTTAGGATGTAGTCCTTGACAGAAAAAGCTGGAGAGAGGAGACTAGAGAAGTCCGAGGATGTTTGTTCGTTTAGCTAAGGAGTAAGGAGCCAGCATGAAACGGAAGGGAAATGAAGAGACACTGATGAACCAGGGGCCTGAAAGCCAAGTAGTACCTGAACTGAACGAAGTTTTCAGTTTGGAGACTGTTCAAGGAAATAACAAGTACGTGGTTTAAGTCAGAAAAGACTGTCTTGTTCAAGAACAACCAGCTTTCTCCACAGCCTTTTAAAAAGTGAACTAAAATGTTCTTCCCTAGTTAGGGAGGCGGCACTGGCCACGAGCTCACTCAGGCTGGCACATGGGTAGAGCGACAGAGAAGCGTCACCTTACCCCGGTTCCAAAGTCGCCTTCAGACAGTTGTAGGGTGTTTGCCCATTTTATTTTGAAAATGTAAAAACTACAGAAAAGTTGAACGAGTAGTAAAACAATACCCATATGCTCTTCACCCAGGCCTACCACCCATTAACACTGTACAGGCACTTTCTCTATGTATGATATAAACCACACACTTTGCTTTCTTTGCTGAACCTTTTGAAAGTATGCTGCATGCCTGTGACAACTCACCCCTAATATTTCAGCCCCGCATAATCAATAGTATCTCCCGAGGACAGGAACATTCTCCCACAGAATCGTGGTACCTTTATCATTCCCAAGAAATTTAACATCAACGCATTCTCTGTTATACTGTCCAGGTTTAGAATTTCCCTACTGACCCGATACCCTCTCTAGATTTTTCTTTCCTCAATTGGGAACCCAAACAACAATCAAATATTACATTTTTAAACAGCCCACATTTAAAAACTTATGAGGAAACCTATAAAATTTGACTGGATGGAGATAGCATAAAATACCTGGCTATGGTCCCCTTACATCAGCTTTAAAAAAAAAAAAAATCAAGAAAAACGTACTACATTTCATACATACATACTGAGAATTATGGAAACATTTTTGATACTAGAACTGTAAAAACTACCCATTTTGGGGATGGAAGTCTAATACGAGAATTTACCAGAAAGATACCTGAAGTTAGGAAGCTCTTTGGGGGAGATGAAAGGACAAGGGTCAAAATTCCTTTCATCTGTGTACTCCACAAACACCACCCTGCCAGTCTACGGGGACGGGAAGCAGATGGCCCCCGCCTCCAGGAAGTTGGCAGTACAAGAAATTGAGTTCATTTACTCTGCACATCAGTCACATGGGACATCTGCCTCCCACATTGAAACAACACATAAATCTTTGGTTAAGCCTATTCGGCTTAATAGCGATGAAGGCCGTGTGACCTTTTGCTTACTTCACAGAGGGGTTTCATTTTCCATTCCTGAATCACTTTCCAAGTTAGCAGACTTCACAGGTCCCCCAACACTTCAAAACCCTAAGCATTGCTCCTAGACCTGTTAGGGATCCAGGAGAGTGAACCCTGTCAAATGGGACTGGCAGACTCAGGACGTGCACTCTTGTCTTCTTTGAGGAGAAGCTCACAAAATATACTAGATCCCTTTTAAAAGAAGCAAGCTGAGACCAACTCTACTCATCTAGCCATCAGAAATCAGGGTACGCATCATACCCCATACTTACCAGCGGGAGGTTCTTCCCGGGAATGTTGGGGAAGTCGTGATGCTCGTTGTGGTACCCCACATTGAAGGTAAGCAAATTCAGAGGCCCGTAATACGAGTACGTTTCATGTCCCTTTAAGAACATGTAATGTTCAGCTATAAAATGTCCAGAAATCGGATGCAAACCTAGACCAAGTAAGGAAGCTGCCAACATGTAGACTAAAGATTTAATTCCCAAAACGTAGTAAACGATCACGTCAAATGTGAGCTGGACCACCGTATTGATAATTTCCAGGTAAGTAATTGGTTTGGGGTTGATGAACAGAGGTCGAAAAGCATAAAAGAGAGGCTGAAGAATAACCCATATGAACTTTCTGAAAGTGGTACAGAAGAACCAGCCTTCAAAATCAGTTGGAATATCCACATCAATGCCATCACCTCCAAGGTATCGATGATGATCCATGTGATACCTCTTAAAGGAAATGGAGTATGGAACACCAATAGGAAGGTTAGCAAACATTCCAAACCAACGGTTCCACATGGCTCTGTAGTGGCCAAAGGCGCTATTGTGGGAAACTTCGTGAATGGCCAGAGTCATTGAATGGTTAATGCAGCTGCCAAAGGCATATGCCCAAAATAGGACCCATTTCCAGTCCAAATCCTTTACTAAGTAAAATGCAACCAACTGTGTGACAACCATCATAACGATAATCCATATCAAGTTGTGATCAGGTTTCATCAAGGATTTTATCTCTGGATACTTTGCTGTAAAGAAAAAAAACAAAATCAGGAAAAGTACATAGTTCTACAATTACAATTAAATCAGCATCAATTAAATTAACACATTAATTTCCCCCCCCCCAAGTCATTACATGCCCTCTATGAGAAACTTTATCTCCTCAGGAAGGAGTAGAGTCTAATAGCAAGATTATCAAATACCATGTCACAACAAATTGAGAACGTATGTAGGAAAAAATTAGCCTCAAAATGTAGACTCCCCATATTAACAGAATATAGCCACAAATAAGTAAAGATTTCATGTTATCCAATTCCCTTTTCGCCCAGGACAATTCTTTCTATATTAAGCTTATGTTTTACGCAGTTAAAATCATAGTCTGGTAAATCTATTCTCTGTGCCTGACAATATACTACATACTTAGGAAAGTGTCCCTCAGGGCAAAGGCAGACCCTTCTCGGGACCCTACCACCCACAGAGGACGAACGCCTTTGGTTTCACATGTGCTGTCAGGTATGTTGGGCCCGGGGAGGCAAATTTCTGAAGGAGGCCCTTTTTCTTGAGACAAGACATTCAGATTGTTCTTCAAAAGATAAAGAAGGGAAAAGAGTGGCTTCATCCTCCTTTCTATAGTGAAATGAAGAATTCGATAAGAGCTTAAAATGCAATACAGGAAGTTACTTAAATCCAGTTTTATATAAAGAAATAAAGGTAGTGTTAGCTCAAGGTGAATAACTCTCCTACTTTCTTTCTCCTTTTCTATCTCTAATCTCTAACCTCTAAAGTTTGTTGCTATTAGTTCATCATATCTAATGTTAATAATTTTGTAGACAATAGACCAGGAAAAAAAAAAAAAAAAAAAAAAAAAAGGAAAAAAGCAACCCTAAAGGCCTAGAAGTGAATTAGAGTAAAACTAATTTTCCTGGTGTAAGTGAAGGGTTCAAATAAGCCATTCATTAATATATAAACATTTTTGTAGCAATTCACCAACAGTAGAATAACAACTTCAGTCTATTGGTGGATAAGTAATAATTCTTTTGTATTAAAATATGTTATCTGTTTAGACAGCTACATCATTCTTACCTTATAGAAAATTATTAAATTGACAAAAGGATAGAAAACAATAGACATTTTGTAGACACTCTAAAACCTCGCCTTCCAGGCGAGATGGCAGTGTAGGCAGACATGGCTCGCCTTTTTGCACAATCACATCAAAATTACAACTAAAATACAGAACAGCCATCACTCAGAACTTGGATTGTCAGAAATTGAATTGAAGGGAAGTCTGACAGCTACGGAACTAAAGAAACCACATCCATGCAGACTGGTAGGCGGGACACAGACACAAAAGCAGAACAGGCTGGTCCCACACCCATGTGTGGTGGGTGAAAATTGGGGAGGGGTATCTCGGGAGCCCAGAGCCCCAGCCCAAACCAGGCTGCCAGCCCAGGGTTCCAGAGCCAGGAAGATCAGCCCCACAACTCCCGGCTGCAAAACCCAGCAGGGACCGAGTTGGTGAAAGAAACTGCTGGAGCCCTAAGCAGTTCCCCTTCTCAGACTCACTTCCTCTGAGCTTCAGCCCCAGGGTAGCGCCCTGAAAGGCACCAGTGGTATACAAGGAGAATCTGATGTGCCTGCCATCAAGGCAAGCAGAGGCTACTGTCCCTTTACTAAACCCTCCCCCTACAGAGCCACAGAGCCAGCAAGCTGGTGCCACATCTGAGACGCCACCAACCTGGCTAACACTGACCCACCTTGGAGGTCCCCAGAGACTGCCCCACCCAACTTATGAACCCACTCAAGCTGCTTTTCCATATGAATGGCTGGTCTTGGCTCTTGATTCACAACTTCCTAAATCCTCACAAACAAGCACCAGCTGGCTTCAGGGAGCCCCTGGCCCAGATTCACAGCTTGGCTTCACCTGGGAATTTCTAAGCCCAGCACAAGCAGCAGCCATCTTAGATTGCCTCACATCTCAGGCGGGGTGCCCCGGGCCACACACAGGTGGGGGCTGACCTTGGCCTGCACCACCCAGCAAACCACAGGGTCAACACACCCAATGAATAGCTCAGACTACGTAGGAGCACCACCACCCTGCCCCTGCACAGAGATCCTCCACCGGAGAGCGGAGGTTGGTGGTGGTTAGTGGTCTCAGCCAGCCCTTGCAGCTGACTGGCCTGGGTAAGTCCCGCCCATTGACCTGCCAACAGCAACCAAGGCTCAACTACAAGAGGAGGATGTATGCAGCCCACACAAAGGGCTCACCTGAGTACCCAGCTTGCAACTGTAAAAAGGTTCAAGCCCCAATTTCATGATTCAGTTTTTGAAAATTCATTTCAAAGGGACCCACTAACTCCTTTCTGTAAAAACATAACATTTCTAACTTTAGATCCCCCGGCAAAAATCAGGGTCTTTGTTCTTGTTTTCACCTGGCAAACAGATGCTGAGAAGAAAAACTAGGGAAATACCATGTATGAGCAAGAATTCCTCTAACTCAACTTATGCCCCATTAGTTTCCTGATTTTTGAAGTAACAGCAAATAAGTTAAAAAGCATCTGTTTCAGAGGAGATCTAACCCAGGTTGGAATCCCCCTTTGACATTTACGTCTTCAGTCTAAGCTATCTTTAAGAGAGTGAGAGCACCGAGGAGTTACTGCGAGGATTAATTTGGGTAATATTTGTAAAACACACAGTGCCTAACACATCATTAAGAGTAACTTGAGACAGAGAAGCGAATTCTCTGTAAAATACAGAAGCTCCAAATAGTGAGCGCCTTACACCTCTGGAGAGTTGACTAGGCCTCGCTAGCCTAGAGGAAAGGGCCCTAAATTAGCAGACGGGACCAGCAAGCTAATTTTGGCAAGTCTTCCATACTTCAGTCTTCCCTCCACCGAACCGGGATGGATGGAAAATACAAGTGAATTTTGCCAGGCGGATTGCGTGGATCAATTAGAAAACAGGCGTGAGCGGACAGGACACAACCCATCCGGGAAGCCCCAGGCGTTACACCTGGTCGGGTTCCAGGCTCTCTTCGGCGACAGGGCAGCCGCCGCCCTCGCCTGGAGGGCGGGAGCGCGTACTCTCGTTGCTCCAGGGCCACGCCCTGCCTTGCACGCGCGCGCAGCCTGGCTTCCCAGTGGCCCACTCGGGGGAGAGAGATTAGGAGGAAACGGCGCCCACCGGGGACACGGGAATCGCAAAATGAGACGATCCGCCCAACGGTGGCTTAGCCGGGGGACTGGGTCCCCTCGCCCAACCAGATGCCTGCGCCTCCCGGAGGAAGGGAGGGATCGAGCACGCGGGAACCTTCCCCGCCCCACGCTGCGCCGGCCGGAGCCCGGGAACACCGGCCCGAGGCCTCGCCGGCCTTCCCAAGTCGGCGGGGCGGCGGACGGACGCGGACAAAGCCAGCCCGTAACTGGCCTGGGGCTCCCGGGGGCGCGCAGGGCCTGTGCGGGCAGAGCGCGCCCCGGCGGCGGGAGGCCGCGCACGCACATAACGGGGCGCGGGCTCGGACCTCACCCAGGATCTCCTTCCGCCGAGTGGCGTGCGGCTCGTCGGTGTAGACCCACTCGAAGTCTTCCCGCGAAACGCGGTTCCCCATGGCGGCGGCGGCGACGGCCCAAGGACCTGCTCCGGGCCCCGTTCCCCAAAGGCAGAGGCGGCAACAGCGACAGCGGCAGCCAGCTAGTGTCTGGGCTGCCGGAGCTGGCGGAGCTGACGGAGGCGGGGGCGGAGCCCCGAGGCCCCGCCCCGGCCCCGCCCCCAGCCGGCCCGCCGGGAGCGTGACCGGCGTGCGCGACGCTCGTGGGCCCCCGCGCGGGGCCGGGAGACGCGGCGTTCTGAGCTTTGTGACTAGGCCAAGCGGCGGGGAGCCGAGTTTCTGCGAGTCCCGGCCCCTTCTGGCCTGTGCTGCCCGGCCCCCCGCCCGAGCCCGGAAAAAAGGTGGAAAAGGAAGGAAACCGGGCTCCGCTTTAGCGCTTCCGAGAAGGCCGGTGCTCGGCCACGAGGATCCTTGGTCATTAGTAAGTGACAAAGTGGCAACGCCCCAAGTCTTAATGATGAAAAGCGAACGCTTCGCTGAGCCCCAAAAGGCTGCCTCCTGGAAATAATGCCTCAGGAAAAAATGAGGAGTGTGTAGGCAACAGTGTAAGGGGAAAATGATAAGGCGTGTCGTTTTGCTTGGATAATTCTAGTGTGCCCATTTCTTGTGTCGGATGATTGTCCCCCTTAACATGTTACATAAGTCATGTGAAGCCCAGTCTCTTCCGGAGGGAGGAAGCATTTTGTTTTGAAATGAGTTACTATTTCTCAGTTAGGGAAGAGACTGAATAAAGTTACAAAAAGGAAGAGGACCACACGTAGTGCACCTCGCAATAAAGAACACATATACAGACACAAAATTCGATCAAGCCCCTGGACTCACCTGCTAATGTGTGGCCAATCGATAGGACGATTGAGAGGATGTTCAACTATGGCGCAGAGATGCGTCAGCTCTATCCTGACTCTTGGAACCTCTAGGTTCTTTAATTAATAAAATGCAAGGGGGAAAAAAAGCGGAAGCCTGTAGATTAAAAGATGCTTCAACGGCCTATCGGCCAATTGGACTGTATTGACCTTATTTTGATTGATTCAAATGGTCACAGTTTTCTTAAAAATCAACAGGAGATAATTTAATTCAAATGTTGCTTGGATATGTGGGAGTATGAAGACATTATTCCCAATTACTTTAGTGTAATAATAGTATTATGGTTATGGGTGTTTTTTTTTTAAGTCCATATCTTTTAGAGATACCAGGGGCCTAAACCTCAATAAACTGAAAACAAACCAATCAATTATGTTACAGTCAGCCCTCAGTCTCTTCACCGGTTCCAGGACCCCCTGGGATACTCTGCTCAAGAGCCTTATATAAGATGGAATAGTATTTATGCATAATCTACATCATCCTCCTGTATGCATCAGTCTCAAGATTACTTATAATACCTAATACAGTGCAACATAAATAGTTGACATACTGTATTGTTTAAGGAATAATAAGACAAAAATGTTCAGTCAGTATGGATGCAGCCATCGTCGGCCTAACAACGTAGTACACATCAACAACAATGTCACTTATTTTTCCCCAAGTATTTTTAATCCTTGGTCCGTTGAGTCCGCAGCTGCAGAACCTGCGGATATGGAGGGCTGACTGTACGTGCCCTTAGCCATACGTGTTATACGATACCACCAGTCAGAAGAATGAGGAAGTTCTCTGTGTCACTATGAATTGATTTCCAAGATGTACTGTTAAATGCAAAGCACCAGGTTTGGGGGGAAGTGTATGTAGAATACGCATATGACATATGATTCCTCAGATATGCATAAAATGTGTTTTGAAAGTCACCCAAAAATGATTACATTGTAGGACAGTAAGTGGGAGTCTAAGGGAATGTGGGTTTTGACATTCTAAAGAAAAGGAAAAAGAACTTGTCAATTGTGGGGACTGACAAATATTTTGATTACACATAGGCATATTTCTTTAGTTAGGACTGTCAAAAGTTCTTAGTGTGTTATCTAGCTTTCACATACTTTCCTTACTCTTGCCAGGTGATTGGTCTTCAGGCAATCATACCAGTTATTCTAGAAAGACACTATCCAGTCTACTGTGACATGCTGAGGTGAGTCCCTGTAGTTCCTGATGCCATTAGGAAATTGCAGGTGAGGTAGTTTTCAGATCATACTTTTGCAATCAAGGTGTCCCTCTATGCCAGTTTTTCATTTTCCATGTGTTTGATATTTGAATGTGCAATTCATTGTTAATACTATTTTGATAATGACATAGTTAGGTTCTAATAATGGCGTTAAAAGCCCCAGCATAGCTCTGCCAACTTTAATTCATAGAACAGTAATTACAAGAGGCATTCACTTCAAACAAACCTTAATCATAATAATATCAATTTTATGTCATCTAGTCCTTGACACCAAATAAAAAGACAACTCTTCCCATCAGTAGTTAATTGCCAATAAATATTTTAAAATATGTTATTTTATGAGCACTATATAAATATATAAGACTAGCACACATACATTGACAGGACAGTCCCCACATTTGTCTATAACTAAAGCTGACAGTGTGTAGGGGGCATAACTATGCCTTGCCTGTTCCATCCTCTGCTCTGCTGGCCTCAGGCTCTGCTCTTCTGGCCTCAGGGTATCCGGTGCTGCCCAGTTTGGGGGCATCATACACACCGGACCTGTCTCCCCTGAACTCCTGCTGCCTTGCTCAACTCATTTATTTGTTCTAGTTTCTTTAGTGGGTTCTTTAGGATTCTTCATCTACAAGATCATGTCATCTGTCAATGAGATAGCTTTACCTTTTCCCCAATGGTCTGGATGCCTTTTATTTCATTTGCCTAACTAATTGCTCTGATTAAAACTTCCTTAAATTCATATGGATTCTCAAGGAACCCCTAATAGCCAAAAAACAATCCTGAAAAGGAACAAAGCTGGAGGGCTCACATTTCCTGATTTTAAAACCTACTACAAAACACCCTGACCAACGGGGCTCAGTTGGTTAGGTGTCATCCAGCAAAGCGAAAGTCACTGGTTCAATTCTTGGTCAGAGCACGTGCCTGGGTTGCAGTTTTGGTCCCTGGTTGGGATGTGTATGAGAGGCAACTGATCAATGTTTCTCTCCCTCTCTTTCTCCTTCCCTTCCCCCCTCTCTAAAAAGAAAGAAATAAAATCTTTAAAAAATCTTACTACGAAGCTACCATAATCAAAACTGTGGTACTGCCATAAAAACCCACATGTAGTCTAATGGCATACAATAGAGAATCCAGATAAAACCCTTGCATATTTGGTCAATGAATTTTGACAAGGGCGCCAAGAACATTCAGTGGAGGGAAACACTCCTCACTCAGTAAGTGGCACTAGGAAACTGGATATCCACAGCAAAAGAACAAAGTGGACCCTTAACTAAGGCAGTACACAAAGATTAACTCAAAATGGATCCATGACCGACATGTAAAATCGAAAACTTATAAGAAAACATACGGCAAGATCTGCATGACTTTGGAACTTGGCAATGATTTCTTGGGTAACAAAAGAAAAATCAGACAAATTGGACTTTATGAAAATAATATTGTGTGGATCAAAAGACATTATTGAGTTAAACAGCCACCCACAGAATGGGAGTAAATATTTGCAAATCATATGTTTTACAAAGAATTAATATCCTGAACATATGTGAATTTTCCAAATTTCTTTCTATTTATGATTTTTAAGTCTATTCTATTAGGGTCACAAAACATACCTTTATGACTGCAACCCTTTTAAGTTTACTGAGAACTATTTTATGGCCTAAAATGTGTATGTCATAGGCATACTTCCAGGTGTACTTGAAGAATGCGTGTTCTGTTTTTGTGTAGAATGTTCAACAGATATTCTTTTTAGGTCTAATGAGTTTATAGTGTTATCACGTCTTCTGTTCCCTTGTGGATCATCTGTCTAGTAGTTTTATTCATTATTGAAAGGGGGATATTGAAGTTCCCAGCTATTACTGTTGAATTGTCTGTTTTTTCCTTCGATTCCGTCGTTTTGCTTCCTGTATTTTGGGATTCTGTTCTTATGTGCATATCCTGTGAACCTTAGGAGACATTTCAGTTGCCCTGAGTCGCCATTATCAAGGTGTGTTGCCTGTGCAAATCACAGATACCCCAGTGATGGAAAAGGTGTTACCTTAAAGCATCTCCAAGGCCTCTTTTTGTTCTAGCATTCTAAGAGATGCCAAAAACAAAGGTTGATTGTAAATAAATTCTCCAGGAAGCTAGAAGGCGTGTAAGAGAACACAGACTGTTTTATGTGCTTAAAAAGAAAATAATATGTAGCCCTGGCTTGTGTTGGGGGATTGAGTGCTGGTCTGTGAACCAAAAGGTCACTGATTCGATCCCTGGTCAGGGCTCATGCCTGGGTTGCAGGCTCGGTTCCCATTTGAGAGCATGAAAGAGGCAACGCATGGTTGTCTCTCTCACACATTGATGTTTCTCTCTCTTTCTCCTTCCTTTCCCTTCTAATAATAAATAAATAAAATCTTTTAAAAAATTAAAAGAAACTGGCTTTTGCACAATCTAAAGTAAAAGGAGAAAAGAGAATTTAACGAAAACACAAAAGCTGAGAAAGTTGAAAGCTATTTAGTTGATTATAGTTTTATGAACAGAATTTATTAAATTTCAGGAAGTTCATCCTTAGTTTGTATTTCCTTCCTAGTCACAATCTGTACTTTTTGCCTGAACATCCACCACTCCAGTTTTTGTTTTTTCCTCACAATTCCCCATAATTTTGCTTTGAGGAAATGATTCACCAAAACCAGAGGAATGTATATAAGCAAGTTAAGACCTACTTTTCTGGAGAAAACCACCTTTAAATAGGTCCCATAGGAATCGTTTCAGGAATTAACAGGGGAAGTTTATAAAGGAGACATTTGATTTTTTTTTAAAAAGATAGTAATATTGGTAGAGATTCTTGGTTCCTTAACACCATGAATGTGTTGTGGCAACTGAACCACCAGGACATAGAGCTGAAGACTTCCATGCTGATCTGCTTCCTGAAGACTGAGGTGGCAGCCGCCTTTACTTCCCTCTTTCTGTGATGTCTGGGGGACTAGAATGAAGAGACGGTGCTGGGATAACTGGTACCACTTGTCACCTCCACCCTGCAGCACAAAGTCACCTGTTACCTCTTTTCCAAACAGAATTTCTAAGTACAAAGTGGGCAAAGCCTGTATCAGAGTTTGCTCTTCCTTCAAATTTTGTTCCAAGCTATTCCTTATCACTATCCCACCTTTACAGAGTAGAGATGAAATTAGTATATTTCATTACAATTTGGAATATTTCTTTTTGGAGCTGGAAGAGATTTGAAGAGAACCAGTATTCTTCCCTGGCAGGGTAAAAAAATTGGTGGTCACTAATTTTGTATTGATTGGCATCCTATAGCAACGCGACTATGGACCTGTTGTGGCCCCAGACCGCACCTGCTGCTAGGATTGCCTCCTACTTGAGATTACAGGTTCTAGAAGCCTTCACAATGGCCTTCTACCTACCTACATGCTTAGGGTGAATTCATTGCCTCCTCCAAGCCCAGCCTCTTCCTGATTTTAAGTTCTCCATGTTAGTCTTCACACGAGGGATTCAGGTATTGACTACTTCTAGTGGATGCATGGAATGAATGTTCATCTATATATTTCTTTCTAAGTTTAGAATTAATGCAATCTTGTTTCATAGCTCCCAGCTCTTTTAGAATATAGCGTAGTGTAGCAGGGAGTACAGAAGCTTTGGAGGCAGGTAGGTCTGGGTTCAAAGGTTCAAATCCCACTTAGGCATTTACTTGTACAGCATTGTGGACCTGGTGCTTAACCCAAGTTTAACTTCCCTACGCAGAGAAAAACCTGCTTCACAGACAGCTGTGAGGACTCAAATATCGTGTGAAACTCCCACTCTCCTGCTTCGGGAGGGGTAGCTGTTCACACGGCATTCGCTTGCAGTAGAGCTCCGTAACTGTGTGTGCATGAAATACAAAGAAAACAGGCAGCACTGGTAACAACACATTTATTTCCGTACCCTGCTGTGTGACCGGATCATTGAGTTAGGTTATAACAATGAAAATTCCAGAAGGTAAACTGGTAATTTATTGTTGCTCATGAGTATCAGTAAACAGACATGGTACCACATAAAGGAATTTTAAACACTTCTAATCTTTTGGTATAGTTTTGAATATGGACCAGTATACTTTGGCAATGGACCTAATAGATTACCGATATGCTTCTAAATCCCATGACTCTCTTCAGACACAACAGGAAAAATCCAAATTTACCTTTTGACTTTAGAAATTTAACAAATTCTTAGGAAGCTGCCAAAGGCCAACATGACTTGAGCCTATCATATATATCATGATAATACATATATTGCTGTTAAAAATAAAACCATGGTAGGTAGCAGCCAACTAGTTGCTAGTTGTTTTGTAGATTAGCATCTTTAAAAAATAATTCACTTCAGAATGGCAGGCTATAGAAGTTTGTTATTTTTAAGTAGGTTTAACTTACTAACCTTTTGTGGACTAGTTAATTCAGATGGATCCGAATTTGGTCAGGACAGTATGTATCAAATTGGATTTTATGTTAGAAGCAGCCATTCCCAAGAGACTGCATTCCATAGGACGTTTCCCTTCAGAATGCCTTTGTTCCTGGCTTCCAGTCTTACTTGCAGCATTTGATACTTGTAGATGGTTTGATAAGTGTTAACAAACGGGTACTCCTTGCTAAAGCAGGATGTAAGAATGTGCTGGTTACCAAGTATGAGATTTTACTTTACTTTAAATTAAAATTATATATTGTTGGAAATTGACAAGATAGGGAGTTCCTAGTTCCTAGAAAATATTATGGCTAAGGAAATAGAGAACTCAAAAAAGGTATCCACCTCCAAGAAACTAATTCAGTATAGTAAAATAGAATTAAGTGCCCTGTCTTAGGAAAGTTTATTAATAAGGAACTGGGAAATCATACATCATTTCTTTGGAGATTAAAGTGCAGGCTATGAAATGGCATATAAAATAATGCATTAAATAGTGCAATCTTAAGGTGCTGTTGTTTTTGTTTATTATACATAGCCTATGATCATATGTCCATTTTCCCTTAAAATCCAGCTGTAGTGACACCTTTTAGCTTATTTATTTAGGCATTACTTATACTCCTTTTAACCACCTTTGGGCTACATGGAATATTTCAACATTTTAACAAGTAGAATGCTACATCTTGAAACCACTAAATAGAGATTAAGGCAAGCCCCTGTAAAGTTCAGCACTCCAAAAACCACATTTCACAAAAAGAAGCTGCTTCCAAAACCAGTGGCTTTAGCCCCGATGGCACCCCAGTCCTTTTAAAATCACGATCACGCTGATTTGTATCTGCCTGCCATTTCCAGGCTCTGTACAGCAAAAGAGGAGCTTGGAAAACAACAGGTTCTGTAACTCAGGTTCTGAAACAGTTCTTACTTCAGAATATGTGAAACCCAACAAGCCCACACAGGAGGCGAGCAGGGGATCCCGTGGGGGGCAGCCTCCTCACACTCGCTTCTCACACGGTGCCTGTCTGTAGTGTGCCACAGCCAGCTTTTAAGTGGGGATGACCCATCAAAAGAGGGGAGTCTCCTCTGAGAAACAGCCCAGGAAGATGACAAGGAGATTTTACGAAAAGCTCTTCTAGGACAACAAAATAGTCAATAACACCATAGCATTTATATTTCAGACGTGCGACCCAGGGCAGGATGGTTTTTCTCAGGAGGCTAATTTACAAGTTTCCTGTAACGTGTCAGTTTGAGCTGATCAAAACAATTTGTGATTTGTTGAACCTTAAATACTGTTATGCCATCCAAAAGCAAGTACAAAAGCTATCAAATCGGTCAAGGCAATATCCTAACAGGTTTTCTCTAGAGTCTAAGGAAGATTTAAGACTTAAACAACAGAACTGTAGTGCTTTATTCTCCTACTGTTATGGAACATTCATGCATTAACAATCGCAACTCATTAACCTTATGGATAGGTGATTACAAGTGTATACTGTAGAAATTTGGATTTTGAAAGCAAAATCTACCTTCTAATAGTGTCAAAGTTTATTATGAAAGCCAAATACTCATGTTAACTAGTGGAAGACTATAGATACATTTAGGGTATCTAGATAAAGTTTATGAAGAAACCCAGGCAAGTTTTATTCATTAACAACTTACCAAATAAATCATCTGAGGTTACATCCCTTTAATGCATAAGGAACATACTTCGTAAACCTGTAAACATGTACTTTGTTACCTAAAAAAGTCTTCCTATTACCAGGAAAGCAGACTACTAAAGGCCATGAGTATTCCAGTAGGCCTGCTCCAAAGTTATGACTATATGGCTAAATCCTATGATTACAAAAAATGAGACCTGCTGAGAAAATGAGTTCCAGACAGGGACTTTTATGGATGACCTTGGCTGACAAATCTTTTTTGGAAATTGTTTATTTTAAAATTACCTTCCCAACAAACCAGGAAACACGTGGATGTTGTTTTATGGTTTTTCATTGAAAACATACTACATTGTAAATGGAGTTTCAAAGTTAGACAGAGAATTGACCAAAATCTAAGGACAATATTATGTAAGGACAGTAAAGAAAATGGATAAGGAAAAGTTTCATTTGGTGAGGTTAATCTGAAGGATGCAGACCCATGTCATGTTGGACGGATAAAAAAAGATGATAACCTTGTGCTTTTAGTCCACTAAGGTACTTACCAAAACCTTAGGTTTTAAACAGGTATCAAACTCCCACCTGGAAAGGGACAGTTTTCTACATTACACCTAAATTTATTTTAAATAACTGAAGCCCAAGGCAACAGTTGTTGAAAAGAACTTAACAGTCAAAAAATAACAACATAATTTAGTACATTAAAATAAAACTAGAACAGTAATAGCTGAACGTCTCAAAAATATACAACTGGGGAAAATAACCACTGTACATAATTTGGAGGTTGTTAAAGTGACCACTAAGAAGGTTGAACAGTGCAAGACATGCTTTTCCAGTTACAAGCTTGACACAGGAGTGCAAACAAAATTAAAGCTTTTGTTTAAAGTTGTAGAATAAGGAAAGCTTGAAATTAATATTAAAAAGCTTCCCTCAGGTCATCCCCCAAAGTGAAATGCTCGAAATGCTTCTGCGCGGCACAGTGTTCTTCAGTGACCTTTCAATGGCAAAACTGCATCCCGCCGGTCGGGCCGCCTGCTCACGCCACTGGTGGCCACACTCGACCAGTGAGCGCACACAGGGGTGAGTAAGGAGAAGGGCTAGTTACCAGAGGGCTGGCGTTGACAGCCTTGGGATCTGGGGTTCTGCCTTAGTCAGCGCACCTGAACCCTACGGAGAAAACGATAAAAGCAACGAGCTCTAATACGCGCTCGTTCCTGTAAAACTGGAGGACAAATGGACTCTCAACCCCTCCCCGCAGAGGCCAGCTGTTGTGGTGGAAGATGGTAAGTGCTTAAATAAACTCAGACGCTGCTCTAAAAAGTGGAGTAGAGAGGTTCAAGATCAATACCAGTGCAAGAGCTTTTTAAGTGAGTCGCCTAGGCAATGCATGCATCCATTCATGCAAATGTTGGACATGGCCCCAAAAGAGAACTGAAAACATGACATAACTGGATAAATCCCTTGCCAGTAGTTTATAAAAATATAGTCAATACTGTAGAGGCTCCTTCTACAGTCAATACTATGGAAGTCCGTTTAGTTACCCATTACTTCAATACCAAAAAGCATTTACTACTTTTCAGACATTCCAGACAAAGGTCACTTATAACAAAAAGTCAACTTTTTTTTTTTTTAAACAAGATACTGTCCATTTAAAAAGTAGGTCTTTTCTTTCAAGTGAACAGGACATTTTCTGTATTAAACTTCTAGTCTGTCAGGACTGGTTTAAGATCCTTAAGTAATGTGCATATATTCAGAAACAAATAAACTTACTTTAAACATGAGCTGCACAGAAAAAACATGATAGAATAGGTCTGGTTAGTACAAATCTACCGCAAAGTAAAAAGATTCTGTGCGTCAGTTTAACCAGGAGAAGCAGGGAAAGAATGTCCCAACCATGAGGGTTCAAGTGTAAGGTGTGTTCTGAAAGCCTAGAAGCCTAAGGGACACCATGTCGCTCACAGCATCCTGATATGCGTCACTGCTCAAGCTGCTAAGCCAGGTCTTCCTCGGAGCCAGAAGCACATTGCAAGTTACTTCCTATTCCGGAGACGTTTAGATTTCCTAAGGGAGTCTATGGCTTCCGCTGCCTTTTTCCGCTTCCGAGGAGACTCTTCGTTCTGCCCCGACCCTGAGGGGTTGCCCACCGCGCTCTCCATTACTTCTCGCAGTTTGCGTTCCAGCTCCGCCAGCCGTGCGTTCTGCTCCCCTATGATCTGGGTCTGCTCGAGCAGTTTCTGGTCCTGGTCTTGAAGCTGTTTCTGTTGTTCTTGCACTTTGGTGCGGAGCTCAGAAATTTCACGCCTGAGAACAGTCACGCCAGCACCATTTGTCTTGACCTGCTGCTGGAGTTTGGTAACCTCTTGTCTCGAAGGGTTTTGCTTGGAGAAGAGCTGCATTGTTGTTAGGGCTGCAGAAGGTCCGGGAACTGTGGAAAAATAGTTTAAAATGGTCAGTCACTTAAAATGTCTCCCTACCAGTAACACTTTATTATTAAACTTATTTTGAAATGGAATGTTCTTATAACATCATTTCTGATTTCTTCTTTGCAATCTAGTTGGTCTAATGGATTAATCAGACACTTGGTTTTAACTATAAATGAGTTTGAATTCTGATTCTCATGTTCATGTGGCCATGTGTGGATTGCCAGCAAATGAAGAAGGACGTTTAATGGTCTATATCTGGATTTAAAATATTATAAAAACACTTTTGGACCTAGTAAGAAAATACAAATAGTAAAATTAGGATACAGTGATTTTCTATCTTATTTCATATAAGCAAACATACACTGGAGTTCGGGCCCTGATTGGTGTGGCTCAGGGGGCTGGGCATCATCCTGCAAACCGAGAGGTCACAGGTTCGATTCCTAACAGGGCACATGCCTGGACTGCAGGCCAGGTCTCTGGTTGGAGGCATACAAGAGGCAGCAGATCAGTGTTTCTCTCCTACATCAATGTTTCTCTCCCCCTCCTCCTCCCTACCTTCCCCTCCCTAAAAATAAATAAATAAAATATTTTTAAAAACCCCACTAGAGTTAGAAGTACAGACCTATCGTTCTTCAGTTCTCTCTGTACTTAGTTATATACAAAGGCTTAAACTTTAGCTAAACAATAAAGATGCCATCAAAGAGTGGGTGATAACATTCGGTGATCATGAAGGGTTTCTGACACGGTAGGAAGACTTTGGAACTATTCTGTTTTAGGAATAGTACAATGTAACATGAGCATAAAAATTACTATTTTAAACTAATAACCTACTTTTTTTTAAAACCTTATCTCTTGAAGGTTTCCTAAAAGGACCTGTTCACACCCTAAACCCATCATGCTAATTTTCTCCTTGTACATCTATATACCAGAATATTTACCTTGACTGATGCATTCTTTCTTCTCTATTTATCCAAATTCCACTAATATATCAGTGCTCAGGTCAATTCTTACTTCCTGTGAAGTCTTATCAGACCAGCTAACAATCATCTGATCATCTTTAAGATTCTGTCTCTGCTACTCATTTGGCATTTAAATGGACATGCCTTTAAAATATTCCTCTTGTCTACAATAACTGAACCTTGGGTCTGCGTATGTCTTACCTTTGAAATGGTAAGATCCTGGAAAGCAGACCCCACACATTGCCCTTCGTTTTAGTCTCCAGAGGACACACTACAGTGCTGTGTGCATAACAGGTGCTCAATAAATAATAGATATATTAATGCTGAGATCCCACAGGTTTTATTATTAAATTACAGAGAGGCACTCAGTTACCCCACTGAATACTCCAGGGAGCTAACCAACCTGAATGAAATGTTTTACCAAAGTTTTTTTTTTTTCCCCTAACTTAAAATATTTGCAAAGTTTCAGAATATTGAACAATGTATTCCTTCAGCAGATAAAGGCACAAATCTTTAGGCTCTAAAATACTTTTGCAAAATAGCTACCACAGAAGTGACAGTGTTCACAACAGCCTTATGCACACTGTCTTTTAAAGTGGCAGCCAGACACTCTGGAGGCTGAAATAATTAACTGGATATCTCCAAGAAGAATTTTATCTGGTATATTTAACTGTTTTAGGATAATGCATATTAACTACTCAGAAACATAAAAAGAAAATACCTACACATAGCTTTTCACACAGCAATTCTACTCCGATGAATTTCAGTCAATAGTTATGGATATGTACAAAAATTTAGCCACAAGATTGTTTTTCAGAGCACAGCTTACATACTGAAAAACTAGAGACAAATGTGCCTAACAGTAATGGGTCAGTTACATAAATTAAGGTCTACTTTCAATTTGCCATTAAAAATAATGTTGCAGATATGTATTTACAGACACAGAAAAGTTCAAGATATACGATTGATTCAATGAGAAAAACAAGTGGTCAAATCTACGTATGAACATTATAAACTGTAGTAAAAACAGGAGATACCTGGAGGAGAGCCCATGAGTCTTCCTGACACATCTGATCCTGGTAGTTTCCTCTTTAGAATCGGAACGATCTTTTCATCAAAGTATTCCATTGCCATGGAGGAAATGTCCCTTAACTCTTGAAGCACTTCATGAGCTCGCTGAGGGGCTCTGGTGGAATTGACATATCTCAACACACGATAAATCTCATCAATAACCTAAAATAACGAGCGCTCATTAGCACTGTTGTTTTTTTGGTTTTATTGTTTGTTTTTTTTTAAGCAAATAGCTAACAGGGAGAGAAGTGACTGCTTGCTTTGCAGTTCCTGCAGGTGCCCTAACGGATGTGCTGGCCACTGACACTACCATCCGTAACACACAGCTTCGGCCTTGTTGTAATACTCGATAGGTTTCATACTCGCATTTAGTGAGCACCAGGTTCTATGCTGGGGCTAAATATCAGGATGAACAAAAGACAGCTCCTGCCCTGAAGGAAATCAGTGTAACTGGGGAGACAGGCATGCCAATCAGTGACAGCAGGTGGGACGTACACACTGCTCAGGAAACTGGAGGGCTCCGTAAGAGACCATCTTCCGGGTGCGGGCAGGGGTCGGGGCATCACCCACACCCACAGCCTGCTGGTCCCCCAGACCCACTTCTCTCAGGCACGGACCTGTCTCCCGGGGCCCGGAAACTCAGCCTGAGCACCCTCCCCCTCTAGCACTGCCACCCCGTTCTGTCTCTCGAGGTTTTCTTTCTCTAAGACTTGCTATGGGTTAGAATGAGGTTCCCTCAAACCCCACACCCTTGCTCTCACAAAGGGTAGCAAGAGACCCTTTTCATCTCATCATAACTGTAGTAGGAAAACACAAGGCACAGCACACATGGAGAAGAACCAAACGCTGACAATCCTGGTTCCTAATTCTCTTGCAGGATAGTGGGAGTAGTCGCTGAACCTTCTTTAGGTGGGTTTACCCTCAGCTTTAATCCCTAGGAGGTTATCCTCAATATTATCCTCAGTACTTCCCATGGCTTCAGCATAGACCTGAGGCTAGTAATTCACATCTCTGAAGACCTCCAGCCTGCCCGACATCTATTCCAATGGACTTTACCTCCCCAAAATTGTGGGTTAATCAGTGAAACAATTCTGTCACCAAAATATCTCAAACCACCTCAAGTCCCACTCATTCCCCTTACTGCATTTATCTAGCCAGTACCCAACTCTGGAACAGTCTTATCATCTACCTTCTCTATTTCTCAGGCTGCCAAGTCCTGAGAGAAACCATACAATTCTTCAGGACCAATGGTATGAGAGGCGATTTCTACACCTTTCACACGCAAGCCACGTGTTGAACCCTACCTGGACCTGAGATGATAAAATATGAGTTATGAAAAATATTTTTAAGTTTTAAAAACATATGGTAGAAACCGATTATGGTGACCAACTATCACATTCCTGCTGTATGCAGTTCACTCTATCATGCTTATGTTTAAATTGTCACAGTAATCAATGATATACTATGAATGTCATCTAAGTCTTTGGACTATTGTGGGTGAGAATTTCTATCTTGTTTAATCTACTGTTTAACAGACAAACCTCCTATTAGAATATTGAACCCCATATAGCATGCAGCGAAAGTAGGCTTACAGTTGTTCATATAGAAAATAATACAGTAAGTAACAAATACAAGAATCATCTGTTTCGCATACTCACAACTATAAACCTACTTTTACCCCACCCTACATATTCTCAAATTTTTCTCCTTTTTTTTTGCCCAACTTGAGGTTTCCTAAACTTTCCTTTTTTACTTTTATTTAATTTTTAAAAATTTCTTCCATATTTAAAAAATTAAAGTGCATTAAAAATTTTCTCATATGTCTTTCTATGGCATGTGTCTGACTATATTTTTTCTTTTTTCTCTTAACATATTAGTTTCTTTGTAGAGTTTTATATCCTTATATGGTTTTCTCAAAGGTGTTTTTCCCTGTTTGTTTTATTCTGTTTCATATTAGTCTGATGATTCTCTACTCTCTTCTCATTCATTATATGAATGGAGTCCGTAAAAGGTCGTCAGAACTCCCTAGTTAGCCAAGATGGCTGTCAGGGCGGGGGGCGGGGGGGAGGGGAGGGAAGGGGGGCGGAGGGATCTACAAATCAACTAGATTTGACCTCATTTGTTTAGACAGTAAAGATCAGCGTCATGTGATCCTGATGGAAGTTGGCAGCATCTATGAAGGACAGACACTAAACATCTTAGGCTTTGCAGGCCATGTGGACTCTGCCCAGACAACCCAACTCTTGTTCGTGAGAGCGGTCTCAGTTGTCTCTGAGGCTGTAAAAACTAAGACGTTTCTTAAATATTCATATTCTTAACAATGACATATGCAATAAAAATGAAGCTAAACTAGTTCAGTGAACCTCCCAGGATACTTACGAGATAAGGCCTGTGAGTCAGATCTGGACAAAATCTGGCATTAAGAATCAGACTCTAAAGTTTCTAACTGGTCACCCTTTTATGGTGCCCTACAAAAGCATTTATAGCTAATAAGAGGAAAGCGAGATACAGCGAAGTATTTCAAAGAAAGCAAAAAGAAACAGAATTCCCCTTAAAAATAAATGGAGAAAACTGAAAATGGAGAAAGTACACGCAAAATATTGCCAATGTTAATTATCTATGGGAATAACAAAAAAAGAACATTTAGATTTTACCAGGTATTAAGTAGTTCTAACCATGTTGCTACATTTGCTAGTGTCAACTAAGTAGCAAAATGACCTTTAATTCCATGTTCACCCTTCCATATAAAAGTATATAGACATATTTCATCTGAATTTACACTCAATTCAAGAAGGAAGACACTAATGAAGATATGAGTGGCGTGCTAACCACTGGGGTCTCTAACTTAGTCATAGCGACTATGCTGCAAAATACTTATTTCTGGATTAAAGAGCACTATTACTTAGCTCTGAGTATATTGCTTTATAGTAATAATTTATTCTTTTCAAACCTGGAAGTTTTATAAAGTTGTCTCAAGAAACATTTCTCAAACGAAACAAAACCCAGCTTGTACCTCCTACTCCACCTCCCCCAAATTAGAACAATCTCCAAAGCAGGAACAATATCTATCTTGTTTAGTGCTGCTGTATCGCTGGCATCTTAACAAAGAGTAAAAGCTCAGAATTTTTTTCTTGAATATCAACTCTTACTAAGCTTCTCTAAAGAACAGCAAGGCTCCTACTATGTATTTCTTAATTTAAATTTTAAATATAAAGGACACATAATGGTTCATATTTCTATTAGTCACTGTATGGAAGTTAAACAAATCCATTCATAGAAACTCATTCCTGAGAAGTGGGAACAATTCTGACATTTAAAGATCACTTTTGACTTTATAATAAAGTTTACACAGCACAATCCAGCTGTCCTAAGGTGTGCAATTCTATATTACCTTTCCTGGGATGAAGCAACAGAGATTGGAATCCACGTACTTCATGAAGGTCATGTTTAAAAGTGAAAGCCTTGTTTCAACAGCAGCAAGGATGTCTGCATGACGAGCTAATGAGTGGTTTCTCCTTTCTGACTCTCTCCTATAATTAAAAAAGCAAATTTTAAAGATGTACTGTGGACTAAAACGTTCAGCAATCAAAACGTTTTACTGAGACAGTCTAACATTTACATGTTAATGCAGAAATCGACACTTGGGTCATAAGGCGACTGCAATGACAGATGAATCACTATGTCCAGGAATATTTGCCGAGGACTAGTACTGACAAAGTGTTTTAGAAAAAAAATAGTGGGTTTTTCTTGGGAGGGGCTATATCAAGCCTAATGGCTGTTAGAATCAGAGAAACTCAAAAAATGAAGGGATTACAAATGGACATGCAGATAAGAGATTATTTATTTTTGCCCATAAAATGAACTCATTTAAACTTTTTTTAAGGTTTACTAAGAAATAATTCACATATAATAAAATCCACATTTAAAGTACACAATTTAGTGGGTTTGGTGTATTGATAGTTGGGGACCTATCAGAACATCTTTCCTTCTACAGAAAGAAGGTCCCTAACCACGAGCAGCCACATCCACTTCCCAGCACTTGGCAACCACTGATCTACTTTGTCCTCCTATGGATTTGCCTATTGTGGACACTTCCGATAACTGGATTTGTGCAGTTATGTGGCATTTTGCGTCCATCTTCTCTCATTTAGCATAGTTCTCAAGGTTTATTCATTTTGTACTATGTGTCAGGACTTCATTCCCTTTTATTGCCGAATAACATTGTATTATATGTAACAGCATCATTTTGGCTATTAGTTGCTGGACTTTTGAGATGTTTTTACTTTTCGGTTATTATGAATAGTGCTGCCATAGACATTCATGTCCAAGTAATCGTGTGGATATATTTTAATTTCTCTTGGTTATATACCTAGGAGTAAAACTGCCGGGTCAAGTGGTAACACTATGTTTAACTTTTTAAGGAATAAATTGTTTTCTAAAGTAGCTGCACCGCTTTATAATTCTTTTTTTACGAAGGTTCCAATTCATCCATATCCTTCCGAGCATTTTTGTGGTCTTTTTTATTTTAGCCACCCTGCTTGGTGTACAGCGGCATCTCAGCATTCTTATTCACAGTGCTCTGATGGCTGAAGATGCTGAACATCATTCAGGCGCTCACTGACCTTTAGCACTATCTTCTTTAGAGACATGCCTATTAAAATCCTGTGCCCATTTTTAAATTGGCTTGTCTTGTTCTTGTTGAGTTCTAAGAGTTCCTCATACAATCTGGCTACAAGTCCTTCATTATGTATATAAGCTGCAAGTATTTTTCTCCCATTCTGTGGGTTGTCTTTTCATTTCTTGATGTTGTCCTTTGAGGCAAAGCAGCTTTCCATTTTGATAAAGTTCAGTTTGCATAGTTTTTCTTTAGTTGCTGCGCTTTTGGTGTCCTAAGAAGCCAGTGCCTAATCCAAGTTCATGAAGGTTGGGACTACATTTCCATCTAAGGATTTTATAGTGTTAACACTGGCATCCACACTTAGGTCTGTGTTTTAAGTTAGCTTTTGTATGTGGTGTGAGGAGAGGGTCCAACTTCATTCTTCTGGTGTAGATACCCAGTTGTCCCAGCATCATTTGTTGAAAGCATATTCTTTCCCCACTGAACTGTGTTGGCATTCTTGTTAAAAATCAATTGACTAAAAATGTAAGGGTTTATTTTCCAGACTCTCAGTTCTATTCCATTGATCTGTATCTCTGTCCTTATGTCAGTACCACACTTTTTGATTATTGTAGCTTTGCAGTAAGTTTTGAAATTGGGAAGTGGTAGTCCTCCATCAACTGTGTTGTTTTTCAAGATGGTTTCTGATTATTCTGAGTCTTTTGTATTTCCATAGAAATTGCAGGATCAGTTTATAAATATCTTTAAAAAGGACAGCTAGGCTTTTGATGGGGATTGCACTGAATGTATAGATCAATTCAGGGAGTACTGCCATTTTAGCAGGAGGAAATCTTCCAATCCATGAGCATGGAATCTCTTTCCATTTAATTCTTCTTTAATTTCTTTTAACAATAATTTGTAGTTTTCAGTGTACATGTCCCGCACTTCTGTTATATTTATTAGTAAGTATTCTATTCTTTTTGATGCTATTGTAAATGGAATTGTCTTACCTTCATTTTTGGATTGTTTATTGATACTATATCCATTTATACAATTATTTTTGTTTATCAATCTTGAATCCTATATCCCTGCCCAACTCATTTATTAGCTCTAATAATTAATTAGTGTTATACACATATAAGACGATGTCATCTGTGAACACAGAGAGGTTTACTTCTTCCTTTCAATCTGGGTGCCTTTTATTTCCTTTTCCTGCCTAACTGCCCTGGCTAAAACCTCCAGTAAAATGTTGAACAGAAATGGTGAGAGAGAGCACACTACGGTAAAAATTACTTTTTGTGATTTGGGTACCCTTTACTACAAGAAATTGGAAACCATTTAACAGGTAAACTCTTCCTAAGATTAAAAAAAAAAATCAAGAAACCAACGAATCCCGAGCTGTGAGTGGACTGCCACTGCTGGCCGTGGCGTACCTTGGGAGTTGCGCTTTGACTTGTTTCTGACATAGATTATGGTACCTCTCCACTTTTAGAAATCCCTGATTCAACATTCTCTGGCAGACCAAGTCCATTCTTTTACAAACCTACGGGGAGAGAGGAGGAAAAAGAAGAATTTTAAAAAGTCATAGTCAAATTAACGAGTCAGTTATCTTAGATCCATAGCTGAACGCTGGAAGTTCTCTGAGCTAGTCTTGTTCCCCAGGCTGCTGTCAGAATCCTTGAATCGGCGTATATGGGTGAACCCCTCGTACTTTGTAATTCTTACAATACTGCACCAACATGCATAGGCAAGGAAAACTCATCCCTTTACTTTAGGTATTTGTCGATAGTTCTGAATGCATCCCCACTACTATAGTCAGAAACTGTCATCCTGAAGATCAGGAAAACAATACATTCAAAATTTTTTTATTGGTTTGAAACAAGAAAAATTCTCTAAGCCAAAAATGTATATTCAAACTCAAGTCCAACCTCTCACAAAGTTTATGTGATCTATGATTGGAATGAGAATTCTTACTCATTTCTACTAGTGATTTGGGGTAACTATACAGTTTCTCTATTCTAGATACTGTGATATCCTCTAAAATATCCTAACGTGTGGCAGAACCTGAACTATTTTGAATCCTTAAGGAATGCGGTGTTTCCATATAGCGCAAGCACAGGACCAGGTGTCAGGACCTAAACCTGAACCCAGCCTTGATGTGTGCTTGAGCGAGTCAGCTACCACTTGAAAGCCTGAGCCAGCGGTCTGTATATTGTGGATAGTATCTACCTCACAGTATCGTTCAGATTAAATGAAACAATCCATGTTAAATCATTTGGTAAACTCTAAAGTGTTACATAAAAAATTACGTTAAATGAATTTTATTTAACTTCGTACTAATTTAAAAATCTGGCTCCATATGCCTAGTTGTTATGATGTTTCTGAGGTATCCCAGCATTTTCTTATCTTAAGAGACCTAGGACATAGTATTTGTTTGTTTGGTCTTTGATCCCTGAGAATTTTGCAGTGACTCAGAGTAATCACCTGAACGTCCATTCTCACTGTATACGTGCGGACACTGAAAGTGCAGGAGAGTGAACGAAATCTGTATCAAGATCAAGTCAGTTAGGCAAGGGCTGTCAGACTTTTTTCCCACCTCTAAAACACCCAAGCACAAATGTGTGACAAGTACTTGTTGAAATGAAATGTTGATGAAACTCTTGATACAAGTTTGCTTTCTCCTGGGAATACAGGGGCAAACAATTCAAACTGGTTGACATTAATGAAAGCCTTAATACTCTAATACTAAATAATAGATACTTCTTCAATCAGGTATTAAGGAAAACAGTTCTTGTCAAGAATGTCAAAACCAATTAAAACAATACATTTTAAACGTTGATACTAAGAGTAATTCTAATAAACGCTATTTTAAAATATGGTAAAATCTATTTCTAACTAAACAAAATTAGTTATCAACATTTGCTCGGTGTCTACTGAAAAAATAACAAAACCAATATATATTAACATAACTTTCTAAGGAAAAATAATGCTTTTCTAAAAAAAAAACCCAAACCTGTCAGATACATTTCCGCACATCTCTGATGTGCGGTTTACTAGAACAGAAGCGGAGTCCTCCTGTCTGCTTCTGCATTCAGGCGGCTGAGGTCATCTTACCTTAGACATTCTGAAAAGCCACACACACCGCCAGCTCTCAGAGCGGGGACGGCACCACGCGTCACAGAACGCCGGAGCGCTCCAGCGGGCACTCGTGAAAAGAGGCGTGAAGAGTGCACGTCACCTCTTAACACTGTAGTGGAAACCTCTTCCGTCCTACAGGCCCCGGACAGGGTCTTGGGAGCCACTCCTCCTGGACCCCAGCCCACCCTCTGAGAACCAGTGCCCCGATCCTAACTCACCACGTTGCCGCAAACACCCGTATCGCCCCTTGTGTGAGGAAAAAAGAATCCGTGTTTTTGGAGAAAGGGAAAGGGTGTGTACGTGTGTGAGAGGAGGGGAAACAGAGCCGGCTAAATTCTCCCCTTTCGTAGCAGGGAGTCAGCAAGTAGTATCAACGACAAGAACCACCACCCAAAGACTTGAAAGAGCTACTTCTGGGGAACAAAACTCGGGGGTCGTAAAAGCCATTTGATGGGAGTTGTGATACACAATTATCTAACAGTCTCGTAGAAAAATACTTCTTGTCTGTACGGACTCTACGACAGCTTTGATAATTTCTGAGATGAAATTATGTGAGTAATTTTTCAGCAGCAAAAAATTTTCAAAGAAAAAGATTAAGACCAGTTATTACTGTAATAATTTCTAAGGCACTGTCTACATTATATTATTCTAGCATTTTGCTGCACTTAATCTAACTACTAAGATTTAGATTATCTTTCAATAATTTAGAAACTCAACTGCATGTCTGAGTACTGACTAGTATGAGTACTAACTACTGACTGGGCAGTGAGGATGTGAACAAATAACAAGGAAGACTCTACGTGATAGAGGATTGGGATCAGCCTCTGAAGGAAGAGAGGACAAGGGGCGCAGAGTCAGAGGGGACAGCACAGGCGAGGGTGCTGGGTCTGGAAGGAGCAGACCGCGAGTGAGCAAACTGCTTCTGAAGATGGAGCAGATGTGCAGGCAAAGCTGAGAGGAATAAAATCTCCCGTGGTTTGTGCAGGGAAATCAGAGAGTAATGGAGAAAGGACTTAAAAAAATCACCCATTTTTGAAGGATCTGGTACTGACACAGGTGATCAATAATTTTCTGTAAGCAACTGTAGTATTAGGACTGAAAATGTGGCCCTGGAAATGTCACACTGAGCTGAAATCCCTGTAGCGAACCCCCAGTAAGGTAAGAATAGAAAGGCTTATGAACAGCCTCAACTGACATTTATAGTTAAAAGCTGGTAAAAGACCAGAAAATAAGGAGGCACAAGACAAAACATCAAAAAGCCAAAATCAAAAAAATGTAAGCATTAAGTCAATATTGTAAGAAAAGAGTGCAGTATTCAAGCTGGCACTCCGCCTTTCATGTTCAGTAAGCACTGACAGACCCATAGCACGAAAACAAAGACACCACAGATCATCTATCTTTTGTTTAGGATTCAGAAAGAAACAAAGTGACCTCTGGAAAACAGAGAGATACCGATTTTTTCCCCAAGCAGTTTAATGGTAACTGCTGACAGTGTATTCTAACTTGCAATACACAATTATCTCACTTAAGAGTCTAGCTCTAGATTTATAGGTATTTTAAAAATTTCCCAAGACTAAAAGGAAAAAGTTTTATTTCCCTGGTTATTAAAACAAAACAAAATCCTAGTAATTTGGTAATTTACCCAAGGCAGCAAACAAAACTCTGGAGTCTCACCTCCACAGATGACTACGTGTCAGACACCGTCGGGGTGTTCACACACGGTAACTGCGAAAAGGAACTGCCGGAGCGCGCCGGTCCGCTGCGAAGACAAGCAGCGTGGGCCCGTCCTTGCTGTCCTGGCACGAGATTAGCCGTGGCCTTCCTGTGTTCACTACTTCAGGATTTAAAATGCCATGTTTATCCTTTTCATCATTTCCTAATGTAAGTGGTCAGTAATAAAAAATCGGCTTCCCTTGTGTTTAGAAACCTTTTTTGGTTTCTTGCGCCACCACGGCCCTTTTTAGCCATGCAAGGCACATGCACCACAATGTTCCTGTTAAGCCCAATCTTTGACTCTAAGGTGCACGTTTTTTCATATTTTCACCTTTGATGCTGGAACAGTCTCACAAATATATGCCATCTTACAATTATAATTGGCAGTATTTCTTTTTCAGATGTCTTGGATGCCTTGAAATACAGGGTGGAGCAAAAGTAGGCTTACTGTTGTTTTGAGTACACAAAACTTTATTCTTTTTAAAAATTTTATTTATTTCATTTTAGAGATAGGGAAGGGGGGATAAAGAGAGGGAGAGAAACATTGATCTCACATGTACCCCAACCTGGGACTGAACCCCACAACACAGGCATATGCCCCAACTGGGGACCAAAGTGGCAGCCTTTCGCTTTGCAGGGCACACAGTTTATTCTTATATTTTTTAATCATTGTTATTATATTCCCTTCAAGCAACTGAAACTTACTTTTGCCCCGCCCTGTACAGTATACTGGACTGCTCTGATTTTGTTTGAGATGCTGTAGAGATTGGATGGAACCAAACTTTCTCATTTGGTGCTCTACAGTTCTCAAATGAGCTCAACACTTGATGTTTCCTCCAATTAATCTAGAAGCTATTATCAAAGATTAGGCTGCTTATTAATTATTATTGAACTGAAAGGCACTTAAGACACCAGGAAGTATCCTTTCTTTTTATGGTGAAAAAACAAAGACCTTAAGAAGTCATTTGTCTAGTGTCATCCAGTTATTCATTGGCAAAGTGAAATTAAGAATCTCGGTCTTCTCAGGACAACAGGGTGGGGACGGCCAGGGGAGGGCGGTAATGGGAAGGGGAGGGACGCAAGGGGGAGATAAGTGGGGGTGGGCGGGGACTTGGTTTGGGGCGGTGAACACACAATACAATATACAGGTGACGCACTGTGGAACTGTGCACCTGAAACCTATAAAATTTTGTTAACCAGTGTCACCCCAATAAATTCAATTGAAATAAAAATAAGTAAATAAAAAGAATCCAGGTCTTCTATTAGTGTCTCTTTAAATGTAGTGATCTGCAAGTATATGATCTGCAAGTATATGGAGTGAAATAATTATCCTCAACTGATTAGTCTCCACTAATCATCTGCTGCTACAGAAGCTGCTGGCACCAGTCTACATGGAGGATTCCTTGAGGCAACATGGGATTTTAAGGGCATGAATGGGTTTGTCACCAACTACCAGGTTAGCAAGATGGAGCTAGACCAAGGTCTTCCTATAATTCTTTCAAAGTTCAAAAACCAGAAGTGAATCATGAGGAAGAAACCAGATAGATCTGCACTGCAGAACATTTTACAAGCCATCTGGCCTGAATTCTTTAAAAAAAAAAATTCCATGAAGAATAAAAAAAGGGGGGGGAATGTTAAAGAGACTAATGTTTTATTAGCGTCAAAACCCTTACTACAACCCCCCCCCAAAGC